CGGGGGGGGGGCGGCAGGAGCCCCGGGGGGGGGGAAAGGCGGCGGCTGTAGCGAGCCTGGCCGCCCCAGGGCTGTTGCGACGCGCCAAAGCGCTGCAGGGAGCAGGGGACTCGAGCGCTCCGCCGTGCTCCCCGCCGCATTTCAAAGGGGCAGCGCTGCAGGGAGCCCTGGGGTCATCGGGGAAGTCCCCCAGCTGCTGCTGCTTTGAAACGCTGCGGGGAACCTGGTGTCAGGCTGCGGGTGGCGTTTCAAAGTGTCAGCGCTGCGTGGGGCTGGAGGTCATTCCTCTGCTTACCCCCAGCTCCACAAGGTATTGCTGCTTAGAAGCACCTTCTCTTCCCCCGCTTGCTGCCCCTTTCTGATACAGGCAAGGGATGATATGATAAGCATTTGCTTATCAGACAGTCAACTAGTTGTTCACATCCCTAGTGGCTGCAGCCCCTGTCCTTGAGATGCGGAGCAGCCTCTGTCTGTGGGGAGCTCAGATCCCTCCCTGTGGATAGAGGCTGCTTCCTGGCAGCCACATGGTAGTATGGAGACCAACAGGATGGGTGATAAGACATGGGATATTAAATTTCAATTAATTAACTAATCAAATAGTTGATGGGATTTTCACATTCCGCCAGCAGCGGCTCTTGTGTATTTCAAAACTGGTTACCACTGCACCTCTGCCCCAGGACCTGGGGAGAACCAACTTTTAAGCCAGCTCCCCCCAGTACTGCCTCCTGCCTGTGTGCCCCTCCCCTACTGTCTCTGTGCTCCCACTGTGCTGTAGTCAACAAGATTGACTGATAAGCCTAGGCTTATTAGTTAGTGGTATAGTTGACTACACATTGATATCTCTAGAGGAAAGCATGGTGACTAATGCATGAAGCAAAATGAGCAAGACAGTCTGAAAGCGTAAGCATTAGAGGCGAGAGATAAGACACTACAGTATTAATACTTAACAATTGTAATCTAACCTTGGTACTCTTTAGCTGAACCAGTTGTGCGGAGTGAACTAAATAGCCTGCCTGATGGAGCTGTATTCATCTACTGCCAAGTTGGAGATCGAGCCTAGTAAGTGCTGAAAAATTATGTATTTTAATGGCTTCTTGTGATATTCATGCTAAAATAATTCTTTAGTTACGTATACTGTCTCAAAACAAATCTGACATATGTTCCAATGGTTCTCATTGAGCTGGCTCAGTGGGAAACTGTTTCAAATGTTTCAATTCTAATTATACTTATCCTCATCTAGAAGACTTGTAAAAACTTGTTACCTTTATGTGTAAGATCATCCCTCATCACAGTAATATAACAGTTGAACTGAACATTTAATCCACTTAATCTAAATGCAGCCATTTTGTGCTTTCTAACTACTGTCTTAGATCTAAAGGTTGGACTTCAAGTGGTAATCAGAGCGTGGAGAATTCACCATCTGAAAGCTGCAGAATAATTAACTGCTAAGGTTGCAGCACTTAATGATAATTTGATCCAAATTCTTTGCAACCATGATTTTGATTTACTTTGGTGGTCACTGTTTGTTTGCATTAAATATGGAATCAGACTTTCCTATTTCCCTTGAGTTTTACTAATGATTATGCAAGAAACAGTAACTGTTATGTTGCCCTCCAAACAGAAGGTAGATATTTTTGCATAAAGTTAACTAACCAATTCTTTTGCAACAGCTGGAAAGACCCCAACAATGAATTCAGAAAGAATCTGAAACTAACTGCAGTGCCAACACTACTTAAATATGGGACAGTAAGTATTTAATTATTTGAACTTGTGTACACTAAAGTCAGAGAAACAAATTTGAGTCTGGCGGAGTGAACAAGGGGCCCTGCACTCCACTGTTCTGCTAACTTCATTCATTCGTGGCTAGTGTAAAACAATCTATTAAAGTACTTAACCCTTTTCACATTAGTTCATTGTTTGGAACTATCTTGAGTGAACCCACTTTATGCAAAACTTGATATTCGTTCTCTGAACTTGGGGGTAGCTTTTTGAAAAGAGCTCTGAACACCGTTGAAGTATTCAGGAAAATGTATTCCTGAACTGCAATAGCATTGAAGTTCCATTCTGGAACCTTCAAAGGCACAAACTATTGGAGGTTGTGTTGAAAATAGAATGAGATTACAAAAGCACAGTATTTAGTATTCTTAACCTTTGTAGTTTGTTTTATTATTTGGGAAAAGGTGAGCAAGGTGAGGGTAGAATAAATCTGAACTGGACAAATTTCTGCAGCTGTTTCAAACACCTAATTCACTTCCGTATAACCCCAAGTCTAGGGGAAAAACCCTACAAAATATCAAGTTTTGCATAAAGAAAGAAAACCGGCTTATTAGTCTCTAGCTCAGTGGTCACCAGTAGGTCATTCGCAGCGCCCCTAGGAGTCGATCGCCATGGCCAGCTAGCCACCCTTCTTAGTGTATGACACAATCTTGGCAGCTGCCCCCCTCTGTTAACTTTCCAGTTTGGGGCAGGGGTGAGAAGAGGTGTGCGGACACATGCATTGCCAACTCTTGTCTCCTGCTCCAAGAGGGGGTGGGCTGGGCCTGCTCACGTGGTATGCTGGGGACCAGGCTACATTATGCTGTTCTCCGTGGACTGTGCATGGTTGGAGAACCTCTTCCCCAGCACCCCATTGTACCTGGGCTCTGGCTGCCTGCAGGCAAAGGGACCAGGCAGGGAAGAGACACTCCTTCCTCTTCCTCTCCTCCCC